CTGCTTTCCATGTTCTGTATTAAAATTAACAGTAAACTCCCATCTTACCTCAATCCTTCCCGCATCCCACTCACCCCAAAAAAAGAAAAAACATCTGAACTGAGATATTAGCAAATCCCGTAAGCTTGCTGATGCACAGGTAAGCAGATACAAGTAGATCACCTTTAAGTGCACAGGACATATTTCAGTCATTGAATGAAACTTCTGCAGCTGATCAATGTCAGTGAATTGTTAGCAATTCATTTCTAATAAGACCAAATAACTGGTCACAGACGCATATCGCCAGGGAAGCAGTAGTCACAACCTCAAGTATGGCAAATCCAGTTGTTTTTAATGTTTGGCACCTATTAAATATGCATTATTTCACATTCCATCTCCACTGTTCCATCGGTATGTGGAGCCGACAGCTATACAGACTTTCATGCAGCTTGTTATATTACAAAACAAATAAATTTATTTAATAAACAACTAAGTAAAGCCAAAAGATCAAGGTGACTGCAGTAGATGATGCACTGTTTCAGTTTCTACTTCTTGAAAGAAAAAAAAACTGATAGATACTATAATAAAGCGACAAGTCTCAGCTTTGATGTCACTTTCTTAGTGCAAAAGAACCGAGGTTGACACTGCTGTCTGAACACGAACAGTAGTACTTAATTTGAAGAGAGTTGGTTTTTTTTTTTTTCTCCCTTACGAAGCTGTGTGTAGTCTCAACTGAGATGGTGTTTGGTTATTCTTGAGCATTAAAAATCCTCAAGAGAAATACGTTTGCCTTATAAATCTATTGAAAACCATTTGCACACTCACATTATGACCATAACTTAGCAGGAGTGCATATAAATCTCTGTGAGTCTGAGAGGTCGGTTTGTAGTTAGACTAAACCAAATAAATCAATGAAACAGTCAGATGTAGTGAACTAAAGCAAAGTGCTTACAAAAAACCAGATCTGGTTATTATTATTTAATGCAAGTATAAAGGAACGAACACATAAAAGTTGCTGACGTGACAGTCAGGAGATTTTTCAGGACAGATATCAGCTAACTTTAAGTCTGACTGAGCAATGTTAAACATGTTTTTTATTAAGGTGGAGATAATATCTTAGGGATTTTATAGCTGCTAAGGATTTTCTTCCAAAATGTAAAATGTCCTAAGTGCGTCTGTACAATGGGTTGCAAAAGTAATTTTTTCTACATTTTGCCACAGTACCAACTCAAAACTTTACTTTATTAGAATCTGGCCCTTATAGAAGAGTTGCAGAAAAACTAAAGTTAGAAAGACAGCTTTACTAAATTCCATTCATATTTTGTCAGAAGAATACGTTCAAGCAGAGAAGTACTGGAAGAAATTGGATTAAAGCAAATTTGCATGTTAGAATGGCCCAAACAACTTGTAGTCAATTTGTAGCATGACTTGAAAACTGATACCCTGATGCTGTCTGATGAAAGCAACTGAGCTTGAGATGTTTTCCAAAAACAAATGGGCAACAACATTTATATAAAAATATGCTTTTAATTGTAATTACTTGTAATTGTAGCAAAAGATGGTTCTATCGTGACTGAATAGAAACGCACCACCATTTTTGATCAATTGAATAGATTTTTAATTTGTAGAAAATGTTTCTCTACTCTACACAAATCTGTGGGACAAAGTGTGACATTTCAAGTTTGAAAGGATTGAATAATATTGCAGGACACCATAACTGTCATCTGCTTATGAAGACGAAACCTTCAGCATAACATTTTGCTCTTACCATGACTCCCTGACAGTAGTGTAACCTTTTGCAAATTAAAAATTTTACTTGACAATGTAATGACCCATCCAGGTGTTCTTTATATGATTTAACTGAAATGAAGGGCCATAGGAACGGCACTCTTTAATGTCCAAAGAACTTACAGTGTGAACTATAAAATCTGATAGTCTCATGAATGTGTGCTCAAATTACTCTATTTAAGCAACTCTGAAGCTAATTCACAATTCAAAGCAGTTTATTAGAGGGACACTTGCTAAATTTAACAGAGCTTCCCTGAGCATTACTGTATCATTCTCTGTGCTGTAAGATGGAGTAAGAATGTTACGTTTTTTTTAATCTTCCTCCCATAGAAAATACTGTGTGTGCATGCATGGGTGTGTGTGTGTACAAATAAACAGGATTTATTAAGTTAGTCCTTCTGCTGCTCCCCTTATGCAGAGGTTGATTGCGGCCACCCAGGCATGCCACCCCACGCAGCGATCACTGGAGAGAAGTTTACTTTTGGCTCCAGAGTGCGCTACTCCTGTCGCGACGACCGTCAGCTCATCGGAGATTCATCGCTTACCTGCCAACTGAACGGACACTGGAGCGGCCCACTGCCTCACTGCTCAGGTATGCTGTACCACACAAACATTTTGTGGTATTATACACCCATTGCAAAAGCTTTTTTTTTTAACCCCCCATTGAACAAAATGTCAATTGTAATTCTTAATCTGAGTGACTACACTACTAGTAGCTGACACACAAAAAAAGTATCAATGGCTCATGTAATTTCTCATTTAGTCTCTAAAAATGAAAAGAAAACAAGTTATTGAATGAATGTGCAGCAGAGAATTTCCATACTGCCTGAAAGATGGTGACATCTGCAGTCGGCAGTCTAATATTTTAAAAACCACAGCTGGAATTGAATAAATACAATAACCTAAGCACACATATTTAAGAAAACCCACACACAAAACTCATGACAACTTATATTGTTCTGTGCAAGAAATGTTGTCAAGCAACTGTGTGTTTTGTTATTTAAGGTACTATATAACCCCTTATTCTACAGGAGTAGTAGTGTACACCCACTTCCGAAGATGAATCCAATTTTTATAGCCGCTGTATAACATTCAGCACTGGGCTACTGGTGACCTGCTCCTCTCTGCTTCTCAGCTGGCACAAGTCCTAATTGCTATCTAGTTCCTGCATAGGTTTAGGCTCTACAGTTATGCCGGCTCTCATTGCTTCAAGTAAATTGACAAAATAAAGGACAGTAATGCTCATTGTTTATATGTGCGATGAACAGGCTGCTTAGAAAACAATACAAAATGTTAATTTCAAATCTCTCGTTCCTAATGATATCTGAAAATACAATGTACAGAACTAGATATCTGACAAATTACAATTCACTCCTCACCACTTTCTAAATGTTGAACAAAATAACAGTGAAATGCATTTGACTCTGTCATTATTAAAATTTTAAATAAATAACTAGAGAAAAAAAGATTGCAACTGATTATTTTGGACCAAGTATCAAAATGATGGACAAAAAAAAGTCTAACGCAAACTCTGCTATTAATTAAATTGTATAATACAATTTCTACTCAAAGCTGACAAAGTAAAAGTTTACATTATTTAAATAGTAAGTGGTGATTAGCCACTTTTGCAAGTCATACGCACATTAGATGCATTGGCCACATACAGCATAGCTTCATTAATTTAAAATGAAATGCTAGCAACCCACTTTATAACCTAAAATATTTGCTGATGCAAATCAAAATGCCACTCATGAATGAATAGAATCCAAAGTGATATCACTGGTTTGAGACTAAACTGAAGCTAACTTGGTTTAGTCATTTGATTGAAATGTGGAGCTGTTTTGCTGCTCACTTGATCTACTAATTATGTCGTACTTTTTTTTTAAAACTAAATCCAGATATTTCCCTTTAGCTGTAAAGATTCCATTGTAATACTGTCTAGCTTTTATCAGGAAACTGTTCCTTTACTGACAGAAAGCCCCTAAAAGGCACCAAAATGAAGTCACAACTTGGCAGGTTTGACAAACACTGCTACAATATTGGAAGCCCACCTACAATACTGAAAGCATTTCTTGGCATTATTAGAAAAAAATTCGAGCTCCAAAGAGACCGTGCCAATTTAATACCATCAAATGCTGCACAATGGACTTTTCTACCCTTTTTTAAAGACTCCCTTCTGTCTCAAAATATTTGACCTTTTGCTATCCACAAGTTCACTCTCTACTCTAAAAGGTTTTTAACATTTCCGAACTGGCACTCCTGTGGTTTATCTGATGTCGCTGCATTTGGTGGAATGAAAAAGACCAAAGATGGTGAGCCAGTGCCAAACAGAAACTACAGACCTTTATTCTTAAGTAATTCAGTCAAAGGGAGTCTTCATCTTAAAATAAATAATGGATAAGTGGTAACATTGAATCTAAGTTAGCTGAAGAGGATCCTTTGCAAGTATAAATCCTTTGAAGTCAACTCCATAACCCGTTTAAACATTTTAAGTTCCAGTTTTTCCTTTCGACATTTTTATAAAGTAAGAAAGAAGGTCTTGTAATGTGGAGCTCCCAACCTACAGCTTACCTCCACCCCTCAAGCCCTCTTCCCCCTCATCACACTTAAACGATCCTGACCATGAAAGTAGATCTTTTTATCTGAATCTTCACTTGGTTTGTTAAACTAGCTGACCCAGAAGTAATGTTTGTAAGCAGACTTGAGGGGTAGTTATTCTCTCCCTGTCAAAGGGCAATTCAGTTTCTCTTCTCACTTTGGATGTTTTGGATTTACACAGGCAGTTTGAAAGTAGAGGATCTTAAGACTCTAAGGACATGTACTTGATCGTATCGGTTCAAATCTGTCTTACTGTCAGAGCTGTCCTCACATTTCTTGCTGGGGTGTGACAGCGGCGACAGAATGATGGGTGCCAAAGACTTGTTAGCGTCACCGAGAAGCAAAGTTTGGCCTGCGTGATTCTGTCCCACCAAAGACTTACAGTGGCAAAAGTTGTTGAGTACTGTATTCTGGCTGTAATAGAAAGGCGCTTTGTCTCATGTAAAATGTCTGCATGGGACAGAGCAGTTCTATCGACTGTTCTTCTGTCCTCTAACCTGCTTTGTTCCATGTAGGATACCATGTTTGTAGGAAACAAAAACAAACATGGAAGTTTCTTTCAAACTCCCATGTTTGTAATGTTTTGTAAGAAAATCCGAGTGCTTAACATTTGCATGAATTACTTTGACATTTACCTTCCCATTTTAATATTATCCTGCAGTAGATGCACCCTGTCAGGATAACCGTTTTTCCAAATGGCAGGCTGATAGTTTACAGTGTTGACTTTGCCTCCCACAGCTCAGTCTAATCGTATATCTAAGGGACAGATGAGAGATAGTGGTCCACTGGAAATATTTTCATCCTTTTAACCTGCAGGATGTGTCAGAGCTCCAGAATGAAACTAACTTGCTCTCTGACTGAGGGTTTATTCACATCTGACACATTTGGTCTGCTTTAAAAGGGACCTATTCTGGGAAATTCACTTTTAGCAAGTTTTTGACTGGAACCGCTGCTGCATCTTTGGAGATTGTGTGAGAGGCACAACTTTGTCTGCTTCTTATGCACATCTGTTTGCAGCTATTTTCATTTTTGCAAAAAAAGAAATGAAGATGTTTAGAATGCCCTACAGACCTATCCTAAGCATAATAAGTTCCCTATGCTAAATTTGTTCACGTTTAGATGGAGGTAGGCAGTCTCTAGATATTGGATTAGTGAGACTCCAGTCAGGGGACTTCTTGACAAAACCACCAAAATGGTTTTTGAACAAGATCTTATGCCTGAAGTGGTCTGGTGACGATTTGCACTTCATCAAAGTACAAACCAGCAGTGAAGGCCTGCTGGTTTCAGACCTTCACAAGAAACACAAGAACTTTTTAACTTCAGTCAAGTTCACCTTTGTCAAGCTTATTCAGCTAATTTATGATTTTCTTTGCGTTTTTGAGTTTGTCACTGCTCAATCTGTCTTAGAAGTACAATTCACATTTCAACTTCATTTGTGTGTGCGCTGAAAGAAATGAAGAAATGATAATCTCAACAATGCGCTCTGTTGACATTGACAACTGCTAATATTCAGTTCAGGTAATAAATGGAAGAATTCATTGAAATTTGTTAACCTTAGTAGCACTGTGTGAAAGACAAAACCACTGTGTGAAAGACAAAACCACTATTCATTTAAAATGTTGCAGTCATTAAACTCCAGTAAAACTGACATCTTTTGCACATTTATCTCATGTTATGGTGTCCTTATAGATAAAATTAATGCACGCCTTAAAAATCAAATTTAGAAGTAATAAAATGTTAAGAACTTTTCTTTATTTTCTCAACTCTTACTATACAAGCAATGTATATAATCCAGAATTTCTGACTCTTTTGATAAATGGCACAAGTGTAAAAACGAGCCAATAATCTCAATAAAACGCTGACGTAAAAAGAAACAGAAAAATACTCCTAACTGTACCACATTTCCTAATTACAATACACAGTTTTCAGATTGTAACATTCCATTTGACCTAATTTTCAATCTGCCTGGAAAATAGATCTTCTGAAATCGATGTAAGATCTGGTTGAGCCTTGTGATTACAACGGGCAACCTTTAAGAAGCTGTACTCATAAGTGTTCAGACTGCGTTGCTTGTCTTTGGAGACCTAAATATTATTAGAGTGATAGTTTTAATGTTCTGGCTTTTCTTCAGAATGTAATGGATTTTTTTTTTAGGTAAGAAGTGAAGATGAAGCAGAGCTGCTTGCGGTTTTTTTTTTTTTTTTTGTCTTTTTAATCACCCATCACTTAAGTTAAGAAAGGGTTTCCATTATTAAGAAGATTAGATCAACATCCTGCTGTTTTGACAGATGAGTCTTTCTTATAATGACGATGAGCAATTCTGAATCTTATCTCTCTGTCATTCATTCTGAGTCGTGTGCCAACATAGCCCTGCTGCAGCCAGCTGTCTTATGAGACAGAGTAACCGCATGTGCTTTTACATTAAGCATTCAACCTGTCTAAAAACCAAACAGATTTGATACATTTAATTAATTGTGTTCAGAAATTCATCAACTGTTTATTTTAAACCAAATTAATGTATTGACTTTGTTCTAAAGTCTTGAACCAGCCAATGAGAAATAACTGTTTATACAACGAATGTGCTGAGGACATTTATGGTTAATAATTATTTAACTTAGGATAATTTGCATAATTTGTTTCACAGTTGCAAATTAACTCTGTATCAAACTGAACATTTTAATCAATGTTGAATGTGAATGCATCATCTTTAGAGATTATACCGCATCAGCACTTGTGATTAACTAGGAAATCTGCAGCATATGATGGAGAGAAGAAGCCACTGTAAATCACCTGCTTGCCACTAAAAGACGTAATGGATTCACACTTGGCAGTAAACATCTGTTACAGTTATAGCAGAAACTGGAGCCACACAGCTGGAGCTCATCTGTTGCTTACAAAATTTAAAAACATCGTGGCGCTAAACACATTTGGGCAATGAAGTTAGTGCAAGTGTTCATTTTTGCACATAGTTTTCATCAATGTGGAAGATGGCCAAAGAACAGGAAGTAGACCTTTGTGTCAAGAATTCTAGATGTTTCGTTCCACTTTCTCCCTTTTTTATCGCTTATACTATATTGTCTGCGTTTATCTGTATTTTATCATTGTCATGCGATAATGCAATGCAAAAGACTTTAGCCGGACTCCTGTAATATATTAAAGTCAGTATAAAGGATAAAGTTTTTAACTTTATTTCTCTTTTATTCCTTTGTAAATTACATTACACTTGTCAAAAATGCAATTTCATATACTGGTACCTAAATGCTTATTTTTATTTTTTCCCCATTTTGTCACATTCCACAATTTAAAGTTTTATTTTGACAAATAAAAATCAGAAAAATGTGGTGAAATGTTGGGATTTAAACTCTGCAAATGCAGCTTGTCTGTATCCTCTTTCTTTCTTTCTTTCTTCCTTTATTTACTTGTTCCTTTTAGAGAATATTAATAAACAAAATGACATATGCAGTGCAGGAATTAAGTCTGGGGAAGATTTAAAGAAGAATAAGGTTATGAAACAATATACCTAATGTAGCCCATCATCTGAAAATTGGAAAATTGTAACACTACTGCAAACCTGCCAAGACATGGCTGGTCCACCTTATCTGATAGGCCAGGCAAGGAGGGCATCAATTTACAGAAGAGTGTCAAGTAGAAAGCTCTTGGTGAAAGCATTTCATTAAAAGGGCAGTTTGTCGAAGACATGAAAATCCTGTGGAACATGGTTCCCTGGACAGATGACACTTTAACTTTATCTTTCACTCTACATTAAAAAAAAAAAAACTAAAAAAAAACACTACGTATATTTGAAAAATACTGCCGGATGGTGTGTTCACACGGAACACACCATCCATATTATTGACCAATAGCACAGTGCATTGGTGAAATTTTCTTTCATGTGGACTTTGAATGAGTTCGAAGTTCATGAGAAGTAGATGGAGCTAAATAAGGGAAAATTCTGGAACAAAACCTGATAGAGGCTGCAAATAACATAAAACTTGGGCGGAGGTTCTCCTTCTAACAAGACATTGACTGCTAACATACAAGCAGAGATGCAGTTTAATATTTTAGACCAAAACTTTTCATGTGCCTACATGGCCCAAAGTCCAGACCCAAAACCTGTTGTTAAAACCTGCAAGATGCTAAAAAACATTTGGAAACACTAAGACTCCTTCTACCTTACATTTGAATGCCCATTTCATGTTGGTCTATTATATAAAGTACAATATTTAATATTGTGACTGTGAGGTAAGAAAAATGCAAAAAAAAAGAGTTTGACTTATAAGTATGTTAGCACTTTATGCAAAGGGCTTGACATTTTGAAAATGGCACAGTTTAATTCAGTAGTAACAACACAAAACAACAGGACTCTGAATTCCTCAGAGATCCAACCTGGCATCGGCAGTAGCTCTCATCCATGCAGCCATTCATGCATCTGTCCATTCCCTCATCTTTTCTCCCTTGTTAATTAGTAAGATGGTGCATCAGACTGCTTGCCAAGCTGTTCCCTTTTTGTTCTCATCTGTTGCATGGCTGATTTTAAGACCTTATTATTTCCTCACAAAGGGATCTTGGTGAATGGACATTACCTGATATTCAAACCAAACTCTGACCACCATCCCAATTAGCATGATTATAGCTGTCCCATTTCAGGCGAAAGAGAATAATGAGGCACCGACAGCTGCTGTAGGACTTACAAGTATCTACTGGTACAGCTGTACTCACTAAGACAAATGCATACTGGTGCTCATCACGCTCCACAAATGTATGCAAGTACATGCTGGGAGATGCACAAACAGCTCAATCTCTCCGAGCCACACCAACATATGCAGCCGTTCATGAACACTCAGCACCAGCCACAGCCACGTACAAACCTATCCGCTTCTGCTGAGAGTCATTGACCTGACAAATGCAGTTTGTAGACATATGCGCTGAGGGATGTGTGTAGATGATATGAGGTTTGTGTTTGTGCTTAAAGACTTTGTCAACAAGTCCAGTATTACCACAGCCATTTAGTGCTCTGTACACAGAAAGAGCAGCAGCTAAAGTCCCTTGGGGAGGAGGGAAGGACAGGATGTTTTTGCAACTCAAGAATCGGTCTTAAGCCCGATATGGTATAAATCCCTCACAAATATCTCTATATTTCTATATCTGTATATTTGGATGTGATAAAATTGTCTTCTCAGCTGCTCAGCTGTTTTTTTTTTGTTTTTTTTCGTTTATATCTGTCAGAATTGAAACGGGAACAGTTATATTTTTGGCTGGTGTTATGCGCTACTGTATGTGCTTTTGTTCTCTCCCCTGAGGGTGACCCCATTGAATACAGCCCCCACCCCGTAGACTTTCCCTGGCAAACAAACCACTCAACTGTTCATCACAACATGAAATCTTCAGCACTGCCCTGATTCCATACCTGTCATCTTTATTTTCTCTCTCGCTTCCTATGGCTTAGAGTGTGAACATGTCCTATTTCTCTCATGCATAAGAGACGGGCTTAAAAGGAACAAGAAGAGAATTTATAAAAGGCACATCGGCGTCTGTATCTGATTGAGTACGTAGTCAAATGTAGCAGATTGTGCAAGGTTGTGACTCTGAAAGTGCTTAAGTTCCTTCACAGAAAAAAGTGTGGGGATAATTCAGGATAATGAAAATGCATTTACTGGTAGCTCCAGAGGTCACAATGTATTCATAATTTCTTATAACCACATTTGGTTGTCTCTTAATGCTGGCTCTGCTGTTTTTTTTTTTTTTTTTTTTTTTTTCATTTTTTTATGGGCAGAAAAGCTTCTGGTGTAAAAGCTGAAAGACGCATTGGTGTGCCAGGTCGTTGGCATGGTGACAAATGGTAAATGTTCTGCCTTTAAAGAAGTCCTTTTAACCTTAGCACTTCTGAAATAAAAGCTCCACGCCTGCCCTTGGGTGAATTTTGCATTGTATCACTGCTTCCTAAAGGTTCAAGTGACCACACCAAAACTCCCCCATACTTTTTGTCTTCTTGACAGGAAAGAAGCCTATGTTGTAAACTCCTGCCATGTGCCAATTTAAAAAGGATCCATCTGTGCGCACACACACACAAACATGCGTGCACAGCTAAAGTGGATGGACTCTTCACTCTCTGGGTTTCATTGCTCCGTGTCTGGTTATCTCTTGTTGCAGGTGACTCTTCAGGCACCTGTGGGGACCCCGGCACACCTGCCCATGCCAGCAGAGAGGCGGGGAACTTCAAAGTGCGCAGCAAGGTGCGCTTCACCTGTGCAGTGGGACACACGCTGTACGGCTCAGCAGAGAGGATCTGTTTCCCCAATGGGACGTGGTCTGGCAAACAGCCATTCTGCAAGCGTAAGGAGACTGTTTAAAATTTCTGTGGGATGTTTTGTATAAATGGTGTGAGAGCAGAGAGGAGTCATGAAGGGAAGTAACAAACACAATTCTTCACAGATAAGCACTCCCACACATGCCCACCGAGATGCATTAGTTGCTTTAAGGCTGGGCATCGAAGCCGACTGTTTTTTTTTTTCTTCCTTCTTTTTTTCATGTTAAATCACAGTGCTTTTCAAAAGTATTCAAACCTGTTTTTGATATTTTAAATGTTGTCACTTTACAACATGTTTATTAAGATTACATATTGTTCTATTTGTGTTGGGGTTTTGTACGTAAGAGTCTTAAAAGTGAGGCTAATTTTTAAAACAAACCAAACATGCTAAAATCTTTATGGGAGAAAGAATGAAGCTTATTTCGTTATTTTGTAACAAAATATTAAAAATAAATGAATGGATACCTTTGCAAGGCACTGTATGCTCAAAAGTCCAAATGAATGTTAGATTTTCACTGTTTATTTTTGATCTGATGGCGTCATGACTGTTATTTATCTGTATCTCAAGGTCTGAACTCTCATCTGAAAATGTGTGTCTTTTTATCGATTCAAACAAGTGAAATGCAGCAACAGTTCAAAGAACAAAATAAGCTGTTGAGAAGCACTGTGAGAACAGGTTGACTTAATGGAAATTTCTCGACAGTCAAGGTATTTTCTAGGAGGCTGCACAGCATTTATAAAAAAAAAAAAGAAAAGTGATTGAATGTGCCTAAAAACAGAAAAAAGTGAGGCATTTTTTTGGTGTTGTACCAACATTTTCTCAGCTGCGACTTATGAAAATTTTAAATAGTACCCAGATTCAGAATAAACAGACAAACACTGCATGCAGCATGCTGGCTACATTAAAACAAAAATGATTTGCAAAGAGATCGCAACATCAGTGCTTCACCAGATGGTAAAATATCTCGCTGCTGGAGTCAGAGTGTCTTCCAGACTCCAGCCAAAAATGTCATTAATTCCAAACACCTGAAGCCACATTTTGTTTGGATTGTGATAAATGAATCATTGTAGGGATTCTGGATATCAACTCTCAGAGGGCCAGCTTCACATCTTGCATAAATTACCCCCAAGGGTCAACCGGATATTGAGGCAAATGTTTGACTGGATCCCCCCTCCTTTACTTACTATTGGCTTGGAACAGTTTCACAATCATTTTTAATATCACCGGCCGATGTATGGTCTCTCTGAACTCCTTTACAGTGCACCTGTTTTTTATTGCATCTTCATTCCTTCTTGTGTTCATTCTGTCTTTTTCAATTCTTCTCTTTTTTTGTCTTAATCTTACTGTCAATCAGCCTTTCAAAGTCTGTCCAATTTTCCATCTCTCATTTCTCTGTATCTTACTTGTTTTTTTTTTGTTTTTGTTTTTTTTTTTGGTCCGATACCCTCCTCCTTCCTTTTTTTACTCCATATCTCCCCACCCCAGGCTTTTTATCCTTCCATCTCCCAGCTGAAATCCTGATTTAAAGATTGTTTTAACCATCTTTCCAACTCTGGGGGGGAGGGAGCAGGAATTCACTGGAGCCTGAATGAATTTCATTGCTCTCTGTCTGTGATCTAAAGCCCTGTCTTGTGTTAAAGCCCATCCATCCATTATTCACAGCCCTTTACAGCACATGGAAAATGGTGACTGTGAATATTCGGCTTAATAACCAGCTCAAATGGCCATCAAGGATGACTTTATGTAATTTCAAATATTAAGAAAAAAAATGTATGCTTGATTTTATATTTGTGCACACAGAATTACATGTAATGTGTTTGCAAGCGTAATTATGAGCTCCTGAGTGCATTTACAGCACTGTTTTATAAATGTGTTGAAGCTCTGCAGTGCGAGGTACAGTATGTGTCCCAGCAATGTGTTTGCACAGTGATACATTTGTGCGGATGCATTAAAGTCAATTGAGAAATCACCACAGCAATAACAGCATGTCTGTCTCCTACAAAGAATCAGTATTTCAGATTTTCCAGGCAATTAGGTGATTGAGAGAGCAGATCAGTTTTGTAATTAGACATGATTTGCAGGAGGAAAAAGGTACATGAAACAAACTGATTTCTTTCCCACCCTTTGGGGAAACATTTTGGTGGGCAATTTTTTTTTTTTTTTTTTTTTTTTTTTTGCTTTGACTCTTAACTTCTTTTTTCTTGAACCACCACCTGAGTTGTTAGTTCAGTCATCATTAAAGTGACTTTTGCATCTTCACGCTGTACCTGCAGAATGTAATTATTGTTTCTGAGCTGCAGTAAGCATCACCACTGAGAGCATGAAAACTGTACGTTATTAAATGGGGCTTCATCGGGATTGCTAATGTATTTTGTCCATCACTGCATCATCTCTGGTTATTGGTCTCTCTTCATAAAGCAGTGATGTATAGATTGATGGGTCTCTGCTGGTTTGTCTCACACAGAATTTAAAAGACATTTAAAAGAAAATACAGTTTTGTGTGCAGAGGCACACAAAAATAGTGATGTTTTTAGAACCGTGACTTCCAGACTATAAGCTGCTACTTTTTTCAGAAACTTTGAACACTATGATGCGGCTAATATTTGGGTTTTTGCAAATCAGTTTCAAAAGGCTAGACTGCTGTCTGATGATGAGGATAGCACAAACTGAAGAGCAAATTTGCCTTGAGAGGACAAAGAAGACGACACAGGGGAATTGTGTTTGTGTGTGTGTGTGTGTGTGTGTGTGTGTGTGTGTGTGTGTGTGTGTGTGTGT